AGAAAATATGCCCCCATATTTCATTAACAGGTGCATGGGAGTCTGGTGTTATTGTTAGAGGCAGTTGTACTAGTTAATTCCTCTCTAGCTTCTCCCCAGGTCTCCTCGTTGTCATCGTCAATAGTCCCTATACAGAGTGCTACAACAGAGATCCTGGAAATGTGTTTCTTCCCACTTTTTCCAGATTGTGGGTTACCTAAGGGGGGAATTCATTCAATACCATTAGCAAGGAACTGCTAATGTAGCCTTGAAACTCCATACCGTTTATGTGCCACATGGCTCTGTAATTAGGCTGCCATTCTGAGGAATCTAAGCTGAGCCTCTAATGGCACAACATGGACCCACAGCACGGGCTGTAGCCCAGGCTCCAGCTGTACTTGTGATAAGAATTCAGACCGTCCTTAATGAAGGTGAAGCCTGAAGAGGGATTTAGAACTAAGAACTAATTAGAACTGCATTGTTTCATGCTTTATAAGGGGGCTGTAAAACCCAAGGAAGTGGTGCTTATTTTAGCCAACAGATTCTGGAGGACGAGGGAGAACGAAGCCAGAGAATGATCCAAATACTGCCAACAGTGATAGGAAACTTTGAGATACACAAAGCACTTTACATACATTCTCTTGTTTGAGCCTCGCAACCACTCTGGGAGGCAGGAACTACAGGTATTATTATCCCCATTTTCACAGGTGAAACACTGAGGCTCAGAGAGCTTAAATCACCCATGCTTAGCCAACTAAGGTTCCAGTTGTTGTTCTTCCTTCATTTTTGAAGAGCACCGCTGACGTCACAAGTGGCATCTTGACTTGCTTGTGAATTAGACTTAAGTGAGACAGAGCTGCACAAAGTCATCAGCCTCACTCTCCCTCCCAGAGTCATCGAAGTCCATGCAGGACAAAAGTCAAGATGACTGACAGGTGATGGCCTGGGAGGTACTGCATGACCTCGGTGTCTCCGATGTCTGACCAGGCTCTGAGTGCTCCACTGTGCCTGCTTCGGCCGCCTTCGTGGCCATTGGGACCAATAGTTCTCATCCACCCATTCCCCTGGGGAAGTCCTTACATGCTTGGGGTAGACACCCCCTTAACTCACTGATGGGTTTGAGGCTTCTCAGTTACCCTCAATCTAGTTTAGCTCATCTGCCAAGACAGTTTTACTAGGGTATGGGCACTGCCCATACTTCAGCTTCTTGGAGCCACAGATAAGAATTAGGGGACAGATGGGCACAAAATGGGGATGAGCAGCCCTGAAAAGGGCTCAGCAAGCCCGCACATCAGAGATGCTAGACCTCCTGAATACCCCATATACCCACAGCTAAGAAAGCATAAGAGGCAAGACTTCATCTATTATGCCTCACTATCCTCCTGATGAAAGAAGCAAATGAATTTCAGTAAAGTAGTCAGTTAAAGGAAATTCTGACTCTTGAACCCCATTTTCTCTATCTGCTCCCATTTTTGTATATCAGAATTATCATGGTTCTCCTCGATCAAGCAGTCTATCTCAGCAATTGCACTGTCTTAGCAGTGGCATCATCATCTGAACTGTGGAAGAGAAGCCTGGAAAGGTCAGGGCTATGCTCTCAAACATCATCTGCATTCTAGAGCTATTATCCTGCTTTAAAATCAACCTGCTGAGCCCATTTTCACCAGTACCATTACTTGGAAAAATGAATTCCAATAAACTGACTTTCCCCAGCTTCCTTTATTCTATATTAAATGGATGTCTTTGAATCTGAGCACTGTGCCCTTCAGCTAGTTCTAAAATGGGAGGTGCATCCAGTCAGGCTTCAGATAGCTTATGAATAAAGAGAGGCCTCATCCCCTAGGAGAGACCTTGGTAAAGGGCTTGGTCACATCAAGGTCCACGAGGACCTCCTGCCGGTTCCCCACTTCTGGAGTCCTCTTCCCAAAAAGGTAAATGAAGTGGGTTTGGGATGATGGTCTGAGTGAAAGTGTTCTGGTTCCTGGTGATCTCCACACTCTCTTCTAAAGACTCACAAATCTTTTGGTTTCTGAAACCCAAAATTTAGACAATGTCTTCATTTTCCAGTCTCCTGGCACCTTGGATGCAATTTGTCCAGGCCTAGAGACCTGAAATCCTTCAAAGGGTCTCACTTTATTTCATCTTACTGCTGTATCAATTTATTTATCAAGGAGTTCAGTTTAATTCTCCCTTAATGAATTTCATCTTTGTATCTCCTACCTTTGTAGCTTCTACAGAGCCTTGAAAGGATTCCAAGAGGTTAAGGAATATGGCCCCAGTCATTGCCAAATGAGGAGTAGAGGGGCAGGATCTCAACTTTTCTGATATTAGTCCAGCTTCCTTTCCTCTATTCCACTCTATCTTTCTATCTATCTATCTACTGATTAATTGGTCAATCTGTAATGTGGAGTAGAAGAAAGAGGGCCACACTTGGTGTGAGGGGAGAGAGAAAGAGAGAGAGAGAGAGAGAGAGAGAGAGAGAGAGATACAGAAATGAACTCTCTCACAGAACACCTGCACATTGACCAAAATTCAGACAAGTATGAAGCAGGAATAATATTTTTTAATTTGCCTATGAGTTACAGACTTGCTGTTTGTTCCAGCAATATGGCCTTTCACTTCAGTTGGTCATTTGTGTCAGGTGAGCATCTGTCACCCATGCCTGCTGACAGGTTTGGATTGAGTCATGCATGAAAATGCTGACTCACAATAGGGCTGCTGAGGCAGATATGGGAGGTGTTTCGTTTTACACAACGTAATGAATGTTTGTCATATATGACTATGGTAGCAAAGGGGACAAACCCTCCGAGCAGTTTCATAAAATCCTAGGGAAATCAGACCTTTGTAATAAGTCTGTATTCACTGTTTTCAAAATCTGATCCCAGTTTGTGTTTGTTTAGACAAATATACATGCAGGGCTCCCATTAAGGTCACAAGAAGCCATGGGTTCTTTTACAGATGGTTACAATCCTTATCATGAAATGGTACTGGCTTTAGAACCTTTGGCACCGAATTTTAAGTGAAGATTAGTAGAGATCAATTTCCTCCAAGCAACGCATAAAAGTTAAAGGCTTATGGTGAGGCTTTTTTTTTTTATTAGATTAACTACTTTAAAGATAGAGGTGGCAAAAAGTGAATGGAGTGACAGGAAAAAAAAGAAACCCACTTTGTTCTCTTTGCCCAAGTGTCCAAATCCAGATCCAGGGAATATTCATATCTATCAAGAAGTTATTGTTATAAAAACCATAGAGGCTCTGGGATTGCTCTTGCTTGATAAGTTGAAAATAGAGCTTGACATTTCTCTTGAAGGCTATTATTTTAAATTAAATACAGTCATATATGCAACTTGCTGAATGCTTCTAAAATGTGTCCATGTGTACCAGGAATTTTACCTGGGGCTATTTTTCAGGGATCCATGTGGATCCAGAGGAAAAGTTCTGATCTCTAGGCAGCTTATGCCTTTAATTAGTTTTCATACATGTATGAACTGAACACGTTTTTACTTGAAAATATCAATACCAGCATTTATACAACTATGAGGTTTCATGCTAAACAGCTGAATTGGGACCAATCCCAAGTCTTTTGACTAAAACTCTTTTCAGGTCAAGGAGGGAGAAGAGGGCATTTGAGGTGGGGAAACGGTGCTTCTGGCTCACTTCACTTACTTCAAAAGTTTGTCCATGAAAATCATTCTGAGGTGGGCTTTTATTTTTTTAAAGCTGAGAGGAATCAGATAGAGACAAAACATGAAATGCTTCAAGTTTGCTTTCATTAGTGAGTGTTATCATGTGCCATTAAGAAGAAGCTCCTGTATCAATGATATCCACATGCATCAGTTTATTTCATTTTCAAATGGTTTAATTAAACTTCTAGCCTCAACTTAACCTGTCAGCACCTCCAAAATTTGCCCACCCTTCCAACCAACAGCTGAGCTAATAATGCTTATAAACAGCCTAAAAACTGTGCGATTGTTAGCTTCTTTGGACCCCTTTCCAATTGCCACTGTAACTGCAGATGTGGAAGGGGCCTTCCAGGCCTCAGGACCACTTGGGATTTTCTTTGTTTCACGGGTCTTCATAGACAAACAAAACCCACTATCAACCCATGAGCCTCTTGGTGATTGGGCTCTCCATAGTTATTCCAGGAAGACAGGTCCTCAGCAAACAGCCACAGTCTGTTGCCAGCACTGCCGAAGACATTGAGTATAGGATGGGAAACAAGTGCAGGTCTCGACAGAAAATGCTAAGGATTCTTGCCAGGGTTCATGAATGGTTAAGACACCTCCCCTTCCCTGTCCATGAAGCCCATTGCCCCTAAAACCTCTGTAATCCTGTAGACTCATACCCCACCCCAACTACATAAAGTGGAAGACACAGGGCTCCTAGAAAGTAAGGTACCCCCCCGTGGCTCCCTAATGAGCAAAAACCAAAATCGTTGGCCCCATTGCTCTTCAGTCAAGAGTTCCCACTACTCCTGTGTGATACAGCACCTCATTGTCTCATTCTCTTCCTTGCTGAACTGCCATAACTCTCTTTCCAGCCTGACCTCAGTCTTTACACCAGAAAGTAAAAGTACCTGCCCCTAGAAATAATACCTTGCTTCCTATGAATCCAAGAGATGACACAACAAGGTGAATCTCACACCCAAGGTTGAGTATGGTCTGGAGCAGTCTGTTTTGGCTACAAAACACTTGGGTATAGATTCTTCTTAACCTAGAAATGTATGGGGCAGCTAGGTGGCACAGTGGATAGAGCTCCGGCCTTGGAGTCAGGAGGACTTGAGTTCAAATCTGGCCTCAGACACTTGAATTTACTAGCTGTGTGACCCTGGGCAAGTCACTTAACCCCATTGCCTAATCAAAAAAAAAAGAAAAAAAAAAAGAAAAAGAAAAGAAACCTAACCTAGAAATGTACCATGGGTACTTCTGGTAATTATAAAGGAAGGTAAGTTCCAGAGACTGCTTATTTGCATTTATATATTTCTGATTTCTTTCTAAAAACAAAAAAAAGTTTCTTTCTTACCTAGTACTTCCTTTTGAAGGTCATGGCATCTGTTTAGCAAGCCTGCTTCTTGCTGGCCTATCACCTGAATCTGCTGTGATTTCAACAAGGCCGTATCTGACACCACTTTCAGATTCTTTACTTCTTCCTCCAGGCGTACCTTGTCTCGCTGGACTGCTGTTAAAGTTTTATTCAGATTGGCCATTTCTGTAAAGAAAAATCAGTATTAATAGGTGTGTATGGCTGGATGCTAAACCATTTCTCTACAAACTCTGGTTGGTTGATTGTAAAATCAACTTATGACTTTTCTGAGGGTAGGATGACCCCTGCTGAAGAGGTATCTATTTTGTTCCCTAAAAAGAAACCAGGACAAAAGGTCCCAAAGTTATAGACACCACTTAGGCAATTCTTAGTAGCCTAGATCATTAGTAAATGCCCCTGGAGCATGCTTATTAAATGTTGACATTCTTGAAGAAATAGAACGTGCATCGTGTCCTAGGCTTCCTACAATTCAGACTGCTTTTCTAGAAGCAAGGTACATAAAAGTAAATATAAATGAATAGCCCTGTGATAGGCTAGATGAGGGATGAGAATATCACTAATAGAGTAATAAGGATAAATGACAGATACATTCTAAAAATGGAGAGAGAAATATGAGTTCCTATACATGGGGGAGTCCAAGTCTGAAGTGACCAGGAAGAAGATTCCCACATAGCCTAAGAACGTACTCCCAGAAATAAGGAAGAGATGCTCCCTCTATTCTCGGCCCTCCTCTGAAGTACCATGCTCCATTCTGGCCACCACAGTTGAAGAGGGATGATGACAAGCTTAAGAACATCAAGAGAAGGGCAACCAGACTGGCGAAAGGCTTTGAGTCTGTGTTATCTGAGGTTTCAATTAAGGAGCTAGGGATGTTAAGGCTGGAGAAGACAAAACTGGGGGGGGACATGATGGCTATCTTCAAGGACCTGAAAAACTGTCTCATGGAGGAGGGACAAGGCTTGTTCTGACTGATGCAAGGGGGCAGGGCCAGGGGCAGTGAATGGAAGACGACAGGAGACAAATGTAGGCTCAACGTCTGGAAAACCATCCTACCAATAGAAGCTGCCTAAAGAGGAATGGGCTGCCAGGAGAGGTGATGGGGGGCAGGTGACCACTTGTAAAGTAGGACAATACGGGCATTTCCTTTTAGATCTAGGTCACAGTTGATGACCATTGAGGCTCCTTCCAAGTCTTGGATTCTATATTTGGGTGCTGATAATCCTGTGTCAGAGAAAAGAATTCATTACAAGTACTGATGCTATTTTCCTTTCCTGACTGTGAAGTATTATATCAGATTGGGAGTAGTGCTTAATTCCATAGAATCACAAGGGAAAACACACAGCTTTTAATTAATGACCCAACACTTTTTCTAAAAGCAATTTGACGTGTAAATTAGGTTCTTGAAAAATAATGCGGGGGCACCTAGGTGGCGCAGTGGATGGAGCACCGGCCCTGAAGTCAGGAGGACCCGAGTTCAAATCCGGCCTCAGACCAAACACTTGACACTTGCTAGCTGTGTGACCCTGGGCAAGTCCCTTAACCCCAATTGCCTAAAAAAAAAAAATAATGTGGAAATGTGTTTATAAAGACTGATTGATTCTGGGAGCAAACTCAATGTAGATGATGACAATCCTTCACCAGTCCTTCACTCAATCCCCGGCCCAACTTGACTCTGCTGACACACGCTCGTCACTGCCATCACACCGGTTAAATTTGCTTTAATATGGAGCAGGTCTCGGAGACTAAAGAGGCAGCCACAGGAGATGAGTCAGTGACCACAACACACAATGAAACAGTATGACACAATTGGGGTGAGAAGGGGCGGGGAGAGGGTGGGAACCAGCGTGTGGTTGCAGCAGCAGCAGTGCAAGCTGAGAGGAGGACCGGAGTTCAGAAACCATATACAGCTGGCCAAAGAGTCTCGGAATGTGCACCTTCATGATGTGGTAGGGCTTTGCCTGGGTAGAAAATATCTTGTGGGAGAAAAAGGGGAAGAAACCAGGGAAATGGGGTTGGGTCCAAAATTTTCAACCTATTTTCAGGACTTGGAGATCAAAATGGGCAGGAGCCAAAAAGGTAAAGGTAAATTTACTACCACTATCTTATACATTGAAAGATTATGGAAACCACTAAATGTGTCATGGAGACCACTAATTTATCCTAAGCCACAGTTTCCAAAAGGCTATACTTTGTTCTTGAAATAAATATTAAAGAAAAGAAAGCTGGCATTTCTTTGTAACCAAAATTTCTTTGGAGTTTTTAAACAGCTATAAATGCAGCTTCTCTTGGCTGAATAAACTGTACTGTACCCTAACAATTTCTATCTATGTATAAGTCAGAATGACACTGAAGAGGACAGAGGGCACATACTGATATGGATTTATCATCTGGTAAAATAACACTAGTGGGTTTGCATGCTGACTCTGGAAATGTACAATGCTATCAGTCACTAAAATAACTCCTTATGTCAATGTGACTTTCTATCTGACATTAGAAGGAAAGGAATCTGTAACACACATTTATGTCAATTTTATTCTCACACATGGAAAACTACTGTAGGATCTCAATGCTTGTTGTTAGGAGTTAGCTGTGGTGTTTCTATCCCTAGATCAAGACTAAGGTGGCAAGGCTAGACCTACAGAGGTGAATTCACTTCCCCTACACAGTATCCTTGACCATGGGGGATTGTCAACAAGAAAACAGCAATTCCCATTCATGGGACTGCTTGGGTTTAGCTAGCTTAATGTAGCAAGACTCTAACATGTTCCTGCTTTTCTAACAGAAATATGTGCTCATTTACTACCTTTAAATCATGGAAATGATCATTTTCTGTAATGTCTACTTCCTACTAATACCTCTCCCTCCTCTCAAAGGGCCAATCACCACCCAGCCATTCCTTCTCATCCTGAGTGACTCTTGATTATCTGTGTCCTCCCTAGAGGATTTTCCTAATGTGTTGGAGGCTTGTAGCCTCTAGAACTTGCTCTAGAACTTGGAGCCTTCCTTGGGTTTAAGCGTAATACCCAGATGGCCTCTTGGCTATCCCCTGCTCACACTGTGTGACATCCTTTTCTCTTCCATCTCTTCCATCTTCTCTTCCAGCTGACATTGATTATTATGCCATGGCTTTGGAACTTAAAAGGCAGCTATGCCAGGTGTTTGAGCCTCAACCAATAAGCATTTATTAAGTGCCTATTACGTGTCAGGCACTGTGCTAAGGGCTAGGGATACAAAGAGAGGCAAAGGACAGGCCCTGCCCTCAATCTTACAATCTAATAAGGGAGAAAACATGCAAACAAATTCATACAAATCAAACAATAGGAAAGATAAATAGGAAAGAATTAACAGAGGGAAGGCACTGGAATTTAGGAAGGTTGGGAAAAGCTTCCTATAGAAGACGGGATTTTAGTTGGGACCTAAGGAAACTAGGGAGGTCAGTAGGGGGAGTAGAGGAAGGAGAGGATTCCAGGCATGGAAGACAGCCAGAGAAAATGCCAGGAGCCAAGAGATGCAGTGTCCTGTTCGTGGAACAACCAGATGGCCAGTGTCACTAGACTAAAGACTACATGTCAGGGAGTAAGGTGTAAGAAGACTGGAAAGGTAGAAGAGGGTTCGGTTATCAAGGGCTTTGAACACTAAACAGAACATTTTGTATTTGATCCTGGAGGAATAAGACGCATGGGGGTCTATTGAGTAGGGGGTGACATGACTGGACCAACATTCTAGGAAAATCACTTTGGTGGCTGAATGGAAGATGATTCAAATAGGGAGAGACTTGAGGCAAGCAGGCCCACCAGCAGCTATTGCTGGCACTGAGATGATGAGGGCCTGCAAGTGGGCAGGGGCAGCATCAGAGGAAAGAACGGGTATCTTGGAGAGATGTTGCGGAGGTGAAATCTACAGGCCTTGGCAACAGAATAGATATTGGGGGGGAGGGGGAGAGGGATAGTGAGGAATCCAGGATATCTCTTAGTTTGGGAGCCTGAGAGACTAGAAGGATGGCGTTACCTCTAGTTTACAGTCAAAGGGAAGGTAGGAGGTGGGGAAGGGTTTAGAGGGAAAGATAATGAGTTCCATTTTGGACATATTGAGTTTAAGATCTCTACTGGACATCCTGTTGGAGATGTCTGAAAGGCAGTTGGAGATACAAGACTGGAGGTCAGAAGACAGTCTGGGGCAGGATAGGTAGATTGGAGAATCGTTAGCATAGAGATGATAAGTAAATCCATGGGAGCTGATGAGATGACCAAGTGAAGTAGCATAGGTAGAGAAGAGGACCCAGGGCAGAACCCTGATGGACACCTATGATTAGAGGGCATGATCTACAACAGGATCCGACAAAGGAGACAGAGAAGAAGCAGTCAGATAGGTAGGAAGGTAATCAGGAAAAAGCGGTGTACCAAAAACCCAGAGAGAAGGGAGTATCGAGGAGGAGAGGGAGATCAACAGTGTCAAAGGCTGCAGAGAGGTCAAGGAGAAGGAGGATGGAGAAAAGGCCACTGGCAACTTAGAACTCTTTGGTAACTTTGGAGAGAGCAGTTTTGGGGGAATGGAAAGGTCAGAAGCCAGAGTGTAAGGGGTTAAGAAGAGGGTGAGAGGAGATAAAATATTGCTTGGCATAGTTATCACTGAAAAATTGTCCTCATCTACTTGTGCCCACCATAGATATGGCCTTTTAGACTCTACAGTGATTATTGTTTTATAAAAATTGAAAATTTACAGTAGTGTTAAAAGCTGAGCTTTGAATTAATTATGGCACATGAATATAATGAAATATTAGCTTCATTGTAAGAAACAAGGACTATGAAGAACTCATAGATTAGGATAGGAAGATTTAAATAAAGCAATGCAGAGGGAAGGAAGTAGAACTGGGAGAATAATATGCTCGGTGAATACAACCAATCTCTGGTAAGGTGCTGATATTAAATATACATACGCACATAAATATATGCATACACATATGTAATATACATGTAAATATATGCAACTAATACAAACATATAAGACTAAGAGCCATTCCCTAAAGGGTAAGTTGTCAAAAGATATGAATAAACTGTCTTCAAAGGAAAAATTGCAAACTATATGGAAGATTGCTTCCAATCGCTAATAATTAGAGAAATACAAATCAAAACGACACCAAGGTTTCACTTCATTTTAGTCACTAA